ACAGAGGGAGAGAGAGAGAGAGAGAGAGAGAGAGAGAGAGAGAGAGAGAGAGAGAGAGAGAGAGAGAGAGAGAGAGAGAGAGAGAGAGAGAGAGGGGGGGGGGGGGGGAGAGAGAGACAGACAGACAGACAGACAGACAGACAGACAGACAGACAGACAGACAGGCAGACAGACAGACAGACAGACAGACAGACAGAGACAGAGAGAGAGACGGCAGGGTAGAAAATAATCAAAATTTATTTATTTATTTGTTTGTTTATTTGTTTGTTTGTTTCTTTCTTTCTTTCTTTATTTGTCTTCTTTTTTCCCTCCTTTTTGGGTGTGGGGGGGGGGGGTGAAACTGTTGGTTGGGTCATGATTGAGAAATGGGGAGTCAGTAATTGAGTTGAGGTATGTAAAGTTGTTCTCGCATCCGATCCGGACAATATCATTGAATTAGCTTTCTGGGCCTTCAGCATAGGGAGGCCAGTAGATCTAGTTCCTTTCCACGCCGCCTTAACTTCCCCAACTCGAAGTCAGGTGCCCATTACTGTTGGGTGGGCAGGAGAGGACGAAAAAAATTCGTGTCCGAACCGAGGCTCGAACTCGTACTTTCCTCTCCTCCACCGCATCCTCTTGGTATGTAGGGGCATAAAATGGGGAGGGTGGGGGAGCGTGAATTCGTAATTTGGGGAGGGGGGGTTAAAGGGGTGAAGAGGCAGGTTGAATTTGAAGTAATTTTAGTTCCTTTAGAACGGGCGGGTTAATGTTATGATTAGAGAGCGTTTGATGTGAGCCAAAAGATTGATTGTAGAATCGCTACCCTGTACCCGTAAGTGTCCATTATGACAATGACAATGACAATCTTTATTCATTTCGCAGGGTTAACAATGGCAGTAGACGTTTCAAAGGTTAAGTGCACTCACACATACGCACAACAAGACAGGACATTAGTAAGTACATGTCTTACGTGCTGGGACAACCCGCGCCGTAAAACTCTCTCTCTCTCTCTCTCTCTCTCACTCTCTCTCTCTCTCTCTCTCTCTCTCTTTGTCTGTCTGTCTGTCTGTCTGTCTGTCTGTCTGTCTGTCTGTCTGTCTGTCTGTCTGTCTGTCTGTCTGTCTGTCTCTCTCTGTCTCTGTCTCTGTCTCTGTCTCTGTCTCTGTCTCTGTCTCTGTCTCTCTCTCTCTCTCTCTCTCTCTCTGTCTGTCTGTCTCTCTCTCTCTCTCTCTCTCTCTCTCTCTCTCTCTCTCTCTCTCTCTCTCTCTTTAAAATCTATCTGTTTCATTTGTAGCACTGTGTGTTCAGCAACCTCGCTGCAGTTGGTACGAATGAATTAAATACCTGTCTGTTCTTGCTTTTGTGGAAATGTATCGTTTACTGCGGGTCGATAGTTAAAATTCCGATGTCAGTGAGTGGCTATGGTCACTTAACATTATTTCCGCCTTTTTAAAGAACGTTTGTTTTGTGCAGATATTCAATCAAAGTTACTTAGATTCTAGGTCTCTACCATTAGTGTTCTTGATGCCTTTCTGATCAACTTGTGTGGGTTTTTTAAATGATGTGCTACCTTCCTAAATTGCTACCATAGCATGTGATACCAAAATTTGTAAAAGTTTCTATATGGCCATGGATGTAGAGTTGGCCGACTGTGGAATGTAGGATTTATTTTTTTAACAGAGTACTTGTATCTGTAGTCGTTGAATCTAGTTTTCTTTCTGATTCATCCATCTTCAGCACAATTTAATCAAATTTCTCAGTCATTTTCTTGGTCACTACGATTAGATCCAGCTTGATGAAAACGGTCAATCACAAGACTAGCTTAATGAAAACAGCCAACATCAAGACTAATATACTAGTCATATGTCATTGCAGGGCCCGCCTTTTTGCTTCTCGTGAAATGCGACAGGCCCTCATAAAGTTTCGAGTCAAATTTGATGAAACAAAGCAAACGTCTACATTTTGTATTTGGTATTGTGTGCTCTGGTCAGCGCCATTACACCCCCCCCCCTCCCCCGGTTCGATCCTTTCTTGTCATGCATTTGACAAATGGACATCCACTTTTATAAGTGTTGTCATGTAATTGTGCATTCTTGCTTTCAAGCTGTGATCTCTCTCTCTCTCTCTCTCTCTCTCTCTCTCTCTCTCTCTCTCTCTCTCTCTCTCTCTCTCTCTCTCTCTCTCTCTCTCTCTCTCCCTCCCTCTCTCTCTCCCTCCCCCCTTCTCTATTTCTCTCTCTCTCTCTCTTTAATTCTCTACCTAATGCTCCCCCCTCTCTCCATCTCCCGTGGTGCCTCACTCTTTCTCACTTGCCTCTTTTCTCTGTCTGTCTGTCTGTCTGTCTGTCTGTCTGTCTGTCTGTCTGTCTGTCTGTCTGGTAGATTTCTCTTCCCTGTGAAGGAAAATCTGCCCTTGGTGAAACTTTCTGCAGAGTGGACCGGGTAGAACCTAAAGGAAACATGGGCATGGCTCAATTTCTATTACAGCCCCATTTTATGAGATATAGTCAGCAGAGGTGAACTATTAATTGCATCTCCCAAGTTCGCTATGTCTTAAAGTTACAGCTAATATTATTACAAACGGCGTGTTATCAGAAACTGGAATTCGTAAGGGTAAGGATCAATTGAAATTGTAGAGTTGATTATTAGTGTTTGTCTTCTCATCCAACTATACAACATACATTTGTATAATAGGCTAGGCCTATACCACCAGTCAAACAACCCCCAGTCAAACGGAAATGAAGTTATGAGTCTACAAGCTTTTAAAATTGGTACCCACCCGCTTTTCCAATACACCTTTCAACCGAGAACATTATTAATACGTTGAAATAATAATTGTCTCGAGAGGAAATGTTTGTCTAAGATAGTTAGAAAGAAAAGTAGGTACTTTTAAAGGACCTTGAAAAAAAAAGTAAACCTGAAGGTTGCACCATGACTACATTATCGCACTTATTTATTAACATTTTCCTGATTAAGGGGGGGGGGGGGGTTACTTCTGAAGGCTATCTCGCTTATTACTAGACCGAATTTTACCAAATTTCACACATAAAACAAGCATAGTAAGGAGTCTTAAAATCCGCAATCAAATTTGAGAAAAAAGTTTCTTTTCCATGGATACGGCGGCCATATTGGATTTTGTTGACATGTCTTACGTAATGAATACCGCCCTTATCGCTCATGGAAATTGATTGTTGTTTTTTTTCATGCGTGTTCACAAACATTAGATCTAAAAATTTGTCTGTTGTTGTTTTTTTTTCGTAAACAAATTAGAAATTTTTTAATGAATTTTTTCCTGAGGTAGCATTCAAGTTTGCGAAAAGTCCGTGAAAATCCACACTCCAGACATCACCAACAAAAATCTATTCTATATATCAAACATTCAACACACAAATTTTTAGTATTACCTCTTCTCTTCATTCTGTGAAAATTTCATGAAGATTAGATGAAAAATGGAGGAGTTATTTTTTAAAAAGTATAGAGAAAAGTGGCGTTTTGAGAAAACGGCCGATTTACAAACATGCCCGGTAAGGAGAAAAAAATACGGTTTTTGGGGATTCTTATGCGATGAAATAGTTGTAGGAGAGGCTGAGGAAGCTAAAAATGCCTACAACTCAAATTCCATAATTTTGAGCCGAATTTTGACTTTGGGGGCGTAGCTCCCCCCCTTAAGTGTGTGTGTGTGTGTGTGTGTGTGTGTGTGTGTGTGTGTGTGTGTGTGTGTACGTGTGTGTGTTTGTAAGTGTGTGTGTGTGCGTGCGTATGTGTGTGTGTGTGTGCGTGCGTATGTGTGTGTGTGTGTGTGTGTGTATGGTATGTGTGATGAAAACATATCCACACCATACTTTATGCATTTTTAGAAAAGTTTGTAAACACGATCATAATAACAGCTTTCATTTATATAGGTGTTTACATTGTTGATATAGTTTGTTTTGTTGGTGTCCCACCTACTTTTTGTTGGCTGTTGTTTTTCGTCTCTCTTACCTAGGTCTACTTTCGATTTTCTTTTCGTAAGCCGGAAGTTAATAGATCACATGATAATATTGTTTCGTGTTGGAGTAGAGGGAGTTGGAAAATCACAAGACCACACGAAATAATGAAACTAGATTTGCTGAACCTAAACGTGTAGCGGAAAAAAATAACAAACTGACCACCTTTTCTCAGAGTCTTGATCGACTTACAGTTCATGATAATGCCCGGCCCAGAGGATGATGGTGTCCGGTCGACGGGAGGCCAAGTCGATGGTCAGTTTGCTTGTCTGCTACTGCTGCACTGCTGGCTTCTGCTACTGAATTAGAAACTACTGTAAACAGTATTGCCATTGCAAAAAGTAGCCTACACTTTTACCTTAGACTAGATCTAGATTTAGATCCAGCTGATGGCTGACGGTTTCATTATTTAGCAAACAGTATCGTTTAAGTTTTGCTGGCGTAGTACAAGTAGGGTGTGATGCACAGTGGTAAAGATGAGCTCTCCTTTTTACTTTTTTAGACTTGTTTGTTTGGGAAGGACTTCCGTAACGAGCGACCACCCCATCAAACACAATAAAGAAGAGGCCTAACCCTAACCCAAACCCTAACACTATCCCTAGATCTACCCCTACCCCTAGCCCTCAATTCTGCTCTGTCTTACAGTGGTCACTCGTTACGGAAGTCCTCCCTTTGTGGGTGTATACCAACAGGCCTATGACTATGAAGGAGGCCTATGGGGTGTAGAATTAGGAACTTGGACACTCTTGTTTATACTAGTCTTCACTCCCTTTTTCACCCGCTCGTTCACACACTCCCTCCTTTACTCACTCACTCACATTATGATGATTTTAAATATATTGGCATTGGCTTTGTTTTTTACATAAAAAACCTTGTGTGTCTAGATCTAGATCTAGATCTATATCAATTTCTAGATCTACATAAACATTTTTAACAAAAACAAGCCATTTTTGTTTTATCTTGTTCTTTGGGTTTTCCTCCTAGACCTTAGGAGTTATTGTCTGCTGATTCTTTAAAACCTGCAGTGCAACTGATTTTTACAAATGTGACAGTTGGGCCTGCTATCAAAAATAAAATAAAGTTGACAAGCCAAAAAGGGTAAATTCCGACTTTAATAATACACCAAGGAAAATAGACCTGCCACTCTCTAAAAGTCAGGATCTCAGTGGGAAAAAAATTGGGACTTGGTGAAAAAAATTGAGATCAATGACAAATCACTTTGGTCACTGCCAAGCTGACTTAAAAAATTTCCAGGGGTGTCCATTATTATATTAATGTATATTTTCTCTGCACGCATGTGTGGTGTATATATATGTGTGTATGCGAACGCATGTGTGTGTGTATGTCTGCGCGTGCCTCTGTGTGTTTTGTCATTATTCCTTTTTTAATCCTGAAGTATTACGTCAAGCTCTCCTAGTCCAAGGTTTTTACTCGCTCCCCCCCCCGATAAGTCCTGAAAGACGCTTCAACCGGTGCGCACGAACTTAAATTGACCACGTCAACGTACAGTCCCCGACACACCGAACTCACACGCCGAACTCACACGCCGAAGTCCTGTCATGTGGTGCAAATGCATGATTGGAACAGTTTTACCGAAGGGTCTTGATGACAGGCCCGACAAATCAGAACTTGGACAAAACATGTTTTGGCAAAAGTAGATCTTGAGAATGTCTTAAATCGGAATGAAAATCAATACTACTTCCATTATAGCTATAGTTGAAATAATACGTGTGAGCAAAGATCCAACTCAACTTTTGGTGAGTCAACCAGCCTACTAAATTCGATATCCGAAAATAGTGCTCTCAGTTTCTGCTGACAAAAAGTATAATGAGTAATGAGTGCTTCCCACGACTGAAGAGAAGGCAGAGTAAGATTTTAGAAAAATCCAGCGCAACAGGCGGAACAACCCCCTCCCCCCCTCCCCTAAACGGGATCAAAATCGGGTAAATCCGGATGCTTGAGATTTTGGGCAGGGATGAGTGGCAGGTTTGGAAAATAAACTGATTCATTATTCTTCAGAGCCATCCCAGGGTTCCTGTTTAGGCCTACAAGTGTGTTAAAGAAGGATGGAGGTAATCTCACAGTAGGAGTAAATTCAAGGCACGACACCGGCAAATGTGAGCCACCAGAATGTGGGCGGAGCTTCTGTGCTGAACTTTTTTTGACACAGAAGCTGACTGTCGTGCATGTGTGCGGATGTGTTGTCAAATCATTGACTCGGCTTCGGAATAGAGAAGGGGGAAAAGGATGCTTGGCAGACGCACACCACCTACATTTTAAAGCTATACAAACCTCCGAAATGAAATTATAAAGGGTAAAGCTCACGCACCATCAAAACTTTAAGGGGGTAATCTGCAGGTTTAATACGTAATATACGCACATTTGTTCGTAATGGGGAGCCATGCTCGTGACTCAACCTCCGACCTGGAGGATGACTTTCTTTCGGGAGTCACTACCTCGTTCGCCATTTAGTCGCCTCGTACAACACGCTAGCACCACGTCAGTCCTATTCTTTTCAATGCCGGAACTGCACGGCTAGATATTCTACAGTGTTACTGGCTATACATTTGTGTTCAGCAGCCAAAAATGTTAGTTGTGGGCTTAATAGAAGTTCATCTGTGTGCGGTGTGAACAAAAAAATTAAGCCATTCTTTGAAGTAAAGATTTCCCTCTTTTACCACCTGCTTATACTGCTCAACAATTTCTCTCCGCAGAAATGGCCATGGCTCTCATTGATGCTGCCTATGACCATGATCCCTCCACCAGAGAGGTCATCGAGAATTCTTTGTTTGATCTGGGCAAGAAGAAGCCTGATCTCATCTTAAGCTCTTGCCACAGTTATCTGAAGAAACATTCAAAGGTATTTTTAGAATTAATTTCTGTGTGTTAATATAATGTCCTGATAGTTCTGTTTTCTTTTTCAGTCTTTCTTTTGTCATCTGACATCAACTAGTATCAGTGGGTGGTTGGCGGGTGCCCTGGTGTGGTTAGCTTTTTCTTTCCTCTCAAACTTCTATCGTCCTTATCTCCCCTTCTGTTTCATATGTTTTTTTCTCTCTTGTAACACCTCTAATCTTCTGGCGCTCATATTACCTGCAGTTACGAGCGCCGTAAAACCCCTACTACTAAAACTAAACAACTAGTATCATGATTTTGCAGTTGGTTAGAAGTGTCTGATGGTAGAGTGGTTATGGTCAATTGCATCTTTCATGTTTTTCTATTGGTTTTGTTCGCTGGCTTGTTATATTCCGACTATATCCCTGAAGATTGATTGAGAAAAAAATTATTTATCTGCAATTTATAGTGATGGATAAATTTAGTGTTTTACATGCTCTTCTGATTATATTTATGTGAGGTGTACTGACAAAAGGAGTTATTTTTCATAACTCACGAATAGAGATATCGAAAAATTGACACGTGTTAAATTTATTTATTTTCAACTGATGCTATTTCCTTCAAGTTTAACATGCCTTTTGCGTTGTGATGCTAAATAAGTTGTACTAACTCAACCAATAAATTTGATGGATCTATGTTCAGAGGCCTAAAATCCAAGAAGGAGCTAATTTGGTCATATCTTCTCATATTGTCTCTCAGTGCCTGGACTATAAGGTTGCATGATCTTTCTTCTTGCTTAGAAATAATAGAAATCATTATAACACCATAGACATGAATGAACTGGCCACAGGACATTGTCGCTTAGGATGCCCAGTACTGCACTACAAAGATGTCTGAAAGCGCGACCTGAAGACAACAGACGTAGATGCAGACCACTGGGAAGCGTTTGCTGTGAACCGAGGAGTATGGAAGGGCATCGTACGTCAAGGAGTATGCCACGGTGAAATGACAAGACAGGAGCAAGAAATGGACCTAAGAAACAGCAGAAAAGAGAGGCAGCAAAATAGAGCCCTCGACTCGCCTTCAGCCTTCATCTGCAACAAGTGCGGCAGAGACTGTCATTCTCGAATTGGTATTTTGAGCCACACCAGAAGATGTTCTGGAAAGGAGTGACAAACAGGTGCAGCCATTGTCTCCCGAGACAAGAAGGAACCGACGATGAGACATGAATAAAGCTCATACTGCTGTTTTGTTTTAGTAAGAGTTTTACGGCACTTGCAACTGCATAATGTCATATGAGCACGCAAAGCTCATACTGCATTTCAGGCCAGTTTGTCATTTCAAGTATATTCATGGACAAAGTAAAGTAGTTCTTTTGTACTGTTTAAAGGCCTGGTGGTTGTAAATCTGAACTTTTTTGTCTTGATTCTCTCATCAGCTGTCTCTGGATCATAGAGTGGTGATATTGAACACGGTGGAGCGAATCCTCAAAGAAACCCTGGATTCTGTGGACTTAAGTCTGGCCGTTGACCTCATCAAACAGGCGTCCTCAGAGCTGACTCTGTCAAAAGTGAGTCTTCGCTGAATTATTAAGTTTGCAGAATTCTAGTAGAGACCAAAATGAGACCACATTTGGGCAAAGTATAAATAAGATCATGAAATTTTGTTTGAGTTAGATTGTTGAAGCCACTCTGACCCCATACAGCTAGTAGCTGACCGACAGTGTTTGCACTTTTTACTTTCTTTTTCCAAAATAGATGTGAGGAAGAGAAAGAGGGCAAGTTTTGTAAACTGAAAAAATTTAGCCATATCTACACCATTTACTTCTTTTAGACAGTGCCTTTCAGTAACATATTACAGTTTTATAATTGGACACTGTATGGTCATAAACAAGAATTCCTAATTGCTTCTGTTTGTTGGAAGTGTCTCAGACTGGCAGTATTTGCATTTTTTTCCACAACAGATATGAAAAAGTGAAAGAGGGCAAGTTTATATGCTTACAAAATTTAGCCAAATTTACACCAGTTACTTTCTTGAGGTAGCACTTTTCAGACATACCACAGTTTCTTAGTCATTCATTGTATGGTCATGATAAGAATTCCTAATTGCCTCTGTCTGTAGGAAGTGTCTCCGGACTGGCAGACTGCTGCCAGTGGGGTGCTTGTGGCCCTGGGGGCTCGTTATTGCAATGAAGTGATGGGGGAGATGCTGGAGAAGTTTCAGCCCGGAGTCCTGCCCCATTTCTTTGTTGTGCAGACCATTGGAAATCTTGCCATTGCCAACGGTAAGTTGGTGGGGAGAGGGAGGTGGGTTCAATGCTCCACTGGACAAATGTTGGTCGTTTCAGAAGTGAAGCTCCTGGCTCAGTGGAGAGAGTGGAGAAAGAGGAGGAGAAAAGGAATGAAGGGAAAAAAATCATTGTTCATTTTTCATTGTTTCAGGAGCTACATCCCTGCACTCCGGACATGTCCTTTGATGCTCTGTTGCTCTCTCCAAAATGTTGCCGAGGGTCTTTCCACTGTTTGTGCCAGTGCATATCTGGTTGAACGTTCTTCTGTTCTTTCCTGCAAGGATGCCAGGTTTTCCGCTTCCTTTCTGTATTCCCAAAAGCATCATCTTCTCCATGGCAGTACTGGCCTCTGCCTCCCTGTCTTCCTCCTCAATCAGCTGGCGAGAGAGACATTTCAGGATCTCGACCCTAGCGGGTCGAACTGTGCTGTCAACTGAGGTGTCCTCACCAGCCAATCTGTCGGCTTTTTCATTTCGCTTAACGCCTGCATGGCCAGGGTAGAAAATCCATGTGAGCGATCGTAAAGGCGTTGCTTCGATAACTAGGGAAAAAAGTAAATCACTGAAGTAAGTTTCACATGTGCACATGTGAGTGTTGATTGACTGCTCAGTGTATGACTCTGCCTTACACCATTTGTACAAGTGACATCAGGCAGAATCTTCCTCTGAGCAGTCATGATGATGCATAATATGTGAAGCACACTGACAAAATGGGTTACTTCTCGGATTCAAGCGTTAAGGAAATAGATACACCGTGTTTACAGGTGATATAAGTATGAAATAATAAAAGACAGGTTATAGTTTAAAAATATAGCATTAATAGAAAATCTACAATTTTGACCCTTATGTCGATTTTGGGTCCATATCTCCATTTGTGGATTGCGAGAAGTAACTCATTTTGTCAGTACGCCTCCATGAGTTTGGTCACTCCTCCTACTGGTGTGCACAGTGGGTCTGTTTATTTCCGCCCCAACTCATAGGGTTTACAGTAACATTCTTTGTTCCTTTTTCGGGTGCCTTGTTTATGATTTAAAATATGTTGGAAACTGGTTGATCAAGGAAGAGAGGCACGAACACTTTTGATTGCATTATCCAGGTAGGAAATAAAAGTTATTTTCCTCAGATAAATCATGAGCTTTTTTTGGATCAAAGTTGACACAATTCAAGTAGATAGTTTCAAAGTCTTGACGGGAGATGACAAAGCAGAAATATGTGAGGCAGCATGGTGAAATCAGGCGCTCGTCAAAATAATCAAAGTAAAGAAACTGGCATATTTCCGCCGGGTTGAGAAATTTTATTGAATTTTTTTATTTTTTGGCTGAACACCTTTCGTGCCCATTAAAGAACTCATTTCTATATGGACTTTAATGAAACGTTGATTTAAAACACGAAAAATGTACATTTTCGGTAGCCATTTTCTCTCTAATTTTACCTTTGAAACCAGGTAATCCCCACCTAGGTTCATTTGCAAATATCTCGACTTGTATGAAGGATAAATGGATATTTTTTTCATCCCAAGCAAGACAAATGAACAAGCTTTAAGATGATACCAATAACTCCACATGCCCAAAAATTGACGAGCGCCTGATTCCACCTCATCGAGACACATATGCACAGTGGAAAGGTGAACATTCAAGAGCTAACAACATTACCAGGTTGACGAAAAGCATTACCTTTTAAATAATTTTACTTTCAAATGTTAACTTAAAAGAGAGGGGATTTTGTGTTCACTAAAAGATTTTTAGATGCTTAATTTACTGTATGGTTTTTGTTTTTTTCTCCTAGTTTATGAGATGGTGCCCCATCTGACTGCAGTTCTGGGCACGATGCTGCCCATGTTGGGGCTGGCCAAGTACGACAACATGAGATGGGTGTTTGCCTCTGGTACGAAGGACGATTTTTTGACGACATATTTTTAATATAAGGGAGTGGGTGTCTCAATGTGTTTCCCAAAAAATGTTTTCAAAATGAGTGTTTTTCATTTTTGCTTAACCCTATCCGTATGCCCTAGGGTCATATTGTACTGCCGGGGTTGTATTCTTCACATTTTGGAATAGTTCTAGTACGAAGATCTTTTTGAAACTTTCAGTATTTCTCAAAAAATCATTTTGACAAGACTGCTATGCAAAGTGTATGGATTTCCCCCTGGGGCAGTGCCACTGACTGCAGTGTCTTTAGGCCATTCCCAAAGGAGGGAATTTTCTCGTTCATGCACAGTAGAATTGTAAATGGGCTGATTCATCGTGTCATGCTCATAACTGTGGCTGATCTACAACAGAGAACTGCCTCTTTTTCTTTCCTAATCCTTACTATTGTCATTTTCCTCTATTTCTTTTGTATGTTTGTCACTCTCTTGTGACCTGCTATTTCCGGTTTGCCTTGATAGTCGAAGCAGACTTTGTGCTGTTGAAGCTAGAGAGGTGAGCAGACTAAGTCTGATTCCTTGTAATGACTTCTCTGTTGACATCCGCCCCTTGGTGCTCATAGGACTTATGCAGTTGCGAGCGCCATAAAACCCTTTACTGAAACAAAAAACAAAAAGTGTACGGGTTGGATTAACAAGTAAATTTCCTATTTGGAAAGTGGTGGCACAGAGTTCCCCACGTCGTATGGATATGATAGTGAAACACGACGTACGGATAGGGTGAAGATATGGGAGTGGGTGTCTCAATGTGTTTTCCCAAGAACGTTTTCAAAATGAGTTTTTTTCATTTTTTCTTATTATCAAATGCTGCACATGCACACATGCACGCACGCACTCACGCACTCACGCATTCACCCACAGGCACACATGCACACACACCCACTCACCCACGCACTCGCACACACATTTAAAATTATTTGAGGGTAAGGGTTTCTTTTACAACATGAGAACTGTCAAGTTTGAATTCTTTTATAATGTGTTCAGTGGCTATTGTGTTGGTCTCCTTCTTTATTGTCTTTATTCTCTACCGTAAGTCCTAAAGTATGCTCCAACTGTCTTTTCATTGCTTTTTTCACTCTTTCTCTATTTGGACCGTAAAAATGGTGTATTGAATTACTTGAATTAGTTGAATGTAGAACTGGGGTCTAATGAAGACTTGATGCTCCATGCTTCCTCGCCCCTCTTCATGAGGGTCCATTTCAGTGTGGGCAGGCTGATTGTCTCTATCATCAGAAAAATGGTGTATTGATCTAGACCTTTGGTTATAAATATTGTCATTTCCTTTTTTATTGTTTTTTTGTTCGTTAATCATTTTGGCTTAAAGATTTGCAGAAAGGCATTAAATGTTCCATTGTTATGCAGATATTCTTAATGCACTAGTTCTTCTGGTTCTATAAATTAAAATGAAAAGTTACATTCCCGCTTTAGCAGCTTCTGTGTCTCACGTCTGACAGGTATCATGGGTGGTTGGCGGGTGCTCTGATGTGGTTTGCTTCTTCTTTCCTATCAAACATCTATCATCTTTATCTACACTCCTTCTATTTTGTGTTTACTACTCTCTGGTAACACTTCTAATATTCGGCACTTATATGACTTTATTGTGTTGCAAGTGCCGTAAAACACTTACTAAAACAGGTATCAAAGAATCACCTTTTCTAACTTGCGGTATGCTTGTGTGTTTTCAGCACTGTCAAAGTTCAGCGAAGCTATTCTTGAGTACTGTGCAAATTTGGACAAGGCCCCAGATCCCACTGTCTCAACGGATCGTTTTGCTTCAGAAATTTTCTCTGCCTATGACATTCTCTTCAACGTGTGGCTGCAGTCAAAAGAAGCTAAGGTTTGTTTTACATAGGCCAAGTCATTTCTTCTATTTTATATCTATTTTTTGCCTATTTTTTGCCACTAGTCTGTCAATCATTTTTAGACTTCTTCTCGTGCAGTTTGTGCATTTTTCACAAGTAAGGAGAGGTAAATTAGTTCTTCATTGTTAACTCTTTATCTTTGAACTGGTATGTCTCTGTTTTCGACCCATCTCACAGATTTTGCTTTTCTGTCTTTGTGTTTGTGTGTGTTTTAAACTCAGATATATATGAATACTGAATGATAAATTTGTTTTTTATGCTATTTTGAAGAATAGTTTCTCTCTCTGTTTTTATGATGATGTATTTACCAGTATTAGTAGAGCTTGTGGGGTTTTCCCCTAGAAGTAGAGTGCAATGCAAAGGCCCGGTAAGATAGCGATTATAAAATTCAACGACAAGCACATCTGGTCGAGGTAGGCAGTTTAATACTTAACAACAGGCACATACTCTGTCAACATGTTCTGCTCGGAAGAGACACTGACCACATGGTCTCGTGCTTATATACTGCTCACAACAACACTTACAAGGGTAATCACTATAAAAGGACGAAGACAGCTCACGACAGTTACGGGTGGTCACGAAGAATAATGGACGAGGACAACTGGACACTGACTTATTGGGTTAATTCCCTTAAATATGTTTGACAGTGACAACACTACAGCTATGAATTACATTTTTTAAGAAAACGCCTGTACCGTTGTAAACCGTAGATGTTTCTATTGGAATTGTTTTTCTTTCATGTTGTTTTTAGTTGGGTTTCCCTTCTGAAGTTGAACATGTTCACGCTTGGGGAGAAAAATAAGGGAAGCAGAGGAGTCCTTTCTGTTTCACCTTGATTTCTTTGGAAGCCGCACACCTGGGCTGGAATTAATTCAGTCAGTAATGGAAACAGCATGTCTAACGAGAATCAGTGGCTCAAATTGTAATTGTATTATAAGTCTAGATCTGACTGAACAGACGTTACACAGACACAACAGGTAGATCTGCCCCCCGGGGCAGTGCCACTGACTGTAGTGTCTTTAGGCCATTCCCAAAGGAGGGACATATCTCGTTCATGCTCAGTAGAATTGTAAATGGGCTGATTCATCATGTCACGCTCATAATTGTGCCTGATCTACAACAGAGAACTGCTGCTTTTTCTTTCCTAATCCTTACTATTGTCATTTTCCTCTACTTCCTTTGTATGTTTGTCACACTCTTGTGACCTGCTATTTCCGGGGTGCCTTAATAGTCGAAGCAGACTTCATGCTGTTGAAGCTAGAGAGGTGAGCAGAGTAAGTCTGATTCCCTGTAAAGACTTCTCTGTTGACACCCACTCCTTGGCGCTCATATGACCTTATGCAGTTGTGAGCGCCGTAAAAGCCTCTACTATAAAAAAACCACAACAGGTAGATCTAGATCAACTTGACGCCATGTTTATTTTTGTAGAAGGGGGCTGGGGCATAATCCAGATTTTTCTAAGTTCCTTAACAAGTGTCTCAGTCTCAGCATGTCATATTACACAAATGTTAATCGGATTCTCCTGAGTTTCGTGGATGGTTGGCGGGTGCTCTGGTGTGGTTTGCTTCTTCTTTCCTATCCAACATCTATCATCCTTATTTCCCCTTCTTCTTTTTTATGTTTATTACTCTCTTGTAACAGGCTCTAATCTTCTGGGGCTTGTATGACCATATTCAGTTGCCACGCCGTAAAACCTCTACTAAAACTAAATCTCCTGAGTTTCTGCTTGTTGTCTCCCACTAGTTGCGACTGACCATCGTGGAAGCGGTCGGTCACATGACCCACGTGATGACCCGTGACAAGCTACAAGACCAACTCCCCAGGATTCTGCACGGGGTTTTCACCCTGTACAAGCGCCACCCGGAGCCTTTTCACATCACACAGGTGCAGTGGCAAATTGTTCATATCTACATTGAATGGGCAAATTGTTCATATCTACTTTGTACGGACAAATTGTTCATATCTACAATGTACGGGCAAATTGTTTCAGGCTTGCCGACCTTCTCGAATTTTTAACTCACTTACGACTGGGCCCTTTCACCAGTCACAAACGTTGAAGACTGGCGTTTTTGGGGGTATTTCAATAAATCACAACAACTCTCAGAATTACCCTATTGTAATTATTTTTTGACACAGTAAAATAACATTAAAGCTTAATGTAATGCAAAAAATTAAAGTTGTCTAAGTCTAATACTTTAATTTGTATGATTTTTAAAAAATTGGCATGAATTTGATTTTCCAAAAAATTTCCAGAGACGTGACAGGTAGAATGAAATTCACTACAACAACAAAAATAAAAGTTCAAAGTGTTCTGGTTTGATTTGTATCCATGTGCGAGTGTTTGGTGAAAATATAAAAGCTGGTCTGTGCATTGATTCAGACCCATACACTGAATTACATGAGACAGATGTACGGCACGACATTGTGATTTAGTTGCGCGAAAAACAATACGAGTACTAGTGCTAGATCTAGCCCTAGAACTACGACTCGGGCCGTGTTCGGGTACATATCCAGGATCCTAACTATTAGACACATCATATTCTGAGACATTAGAACTTGTAAAACGTACAGAAGTATAGAAAACGGCGAAATTATGTGATACTTGTTCATGCGACTTCTTCTACCGTTACTACGACGCGACTGTCAGATTACTATCAGCTGTATAGAAAAAAAACAAAGCGCGAGTTCCAGTCTGTTCAACCCCAGTTGGGGTCACTGTCCTTCACCTTCAATAACTTAAAAACTACCGGCCCCAGAGATACGAAACAAAGTGTAAGTAGCTCAGGCTTGGCCAAACAAGGGTACGAGGCGGGTCTCGCGATCCGTGCGTGATTTGTAGAGCGAAAAAAAAATTCCAAAGTTGGTCACACAGGGCTTGTGGGAGCCGTCGCGAGCGTCGCGGCGGGGGGTCACGCAACTGTTGTGTGAACCGTCTGAAGTGAGTTAAGAAAATTCCCAAATTGCCATCGTTGTTCCCGAACCTTTCCCGAAACCGCGTCTCTCTCTCTCTCTCTCTCTGTTTCTCCACTGGTTTGTTTGAACTTTTTGTAGTGTGGGTGTTTATTTAAAAAGTAGCTTTAGTAGACTATCACAGAAGTTGAAGTGTGTGTCCGTGGCGCTATCAAAATTCCAGAATTCAGTGTCTCAAAAGTTGGCAAGCCTGTTGTTCATATCTACATCGTACGGACTGGTGGACATGCTACAGAAGACTGCCAGGTCTGTAATTAAAGCTGATCTCATAACATCTGGGACTAGCCTCACAGTAGTATAAATTTAAAAAATGTCATTCCAATGGGTTTTTTTCACCTTCTGTAGTTATTCATTCTTATTGCAACACAAGGATGTCATTACCGTGATCACTGTTTTTGGTGCAACTGATTATTTCATACTTCTGTTTCATGTGGATGGTTGGCGGGTGCTCTGGTGCGGTTTGCTTCTTCTTTCCTATGAAACCTCTATCGTCCTTATCTCTCCTCCTTCTTTTTTGTGTTTGTTACTCTCTTGTAACACCTTTAATCTTCATCACTTATATGACCTTATTGTGTTGCAAGTGCCGTTAAACTCTTACTAAAACTGAAAAACTTCTGTTTCATGTCTGTATTCTTTGTGTGTTTCTTTTCTCAGGGTTTGTGCATGGTGTTGGACGCTGTGTGTGTAGAGGGAAGCCTCATCCTAGAGCCTCACATGGATAACCTGCTCACTGTACTCTTCTCTCAGGTATCTCACTTTGGTTCTTTTGTGTTTTATGTGATGTCAGGGGTCATGACTCTTATCATTATTTATATGGGACAGTGTAATTAAGGGAGTAGGGCGCTGTTGGATGAAGTCACTTTCAGAGGCGGGAAATGGGCCAACGTCGTCTGAGAGACATGGACTGAGAGTTAGTCGAGCACAGGACTAGATACCAACAACACCGATCCTGGACGGGGGCCTCCTGACAGACCAAGACTTATCGGACCACTAGGTAACTTTACAGTTTTACAGTTACAAAATAACGCTGAAGCTGTCGTATCTGCCAGCTAATTTTTCATCTTCAGATGTTGTTGTTGTTGTTTTCAAATCCCTTTAGCTGCGAGCATTTCACTCTTGGCAGGGCAATGTCTCCCTCAAGTAACCACATGTTCCTTTCATCTTCAGATATAACCTGAAGTATATTGTTGACAAATAACTGTTCTTTCCAGATCTATCTTGAGATAGTAATTTTTTCTTCACCTTTTGGTCATGTAATTGTTGGGACTGACATCAGTGAGTAGAACGAGAGTTGTTTCAATGAATCAATGCTGAGCTCTAGCTAGGTTAGTCTGCAAAATGCATGTTTTCTTTTATTTTTGAACATTTTTAACCCTATCTGTATGCCCTGGGGTCATTTTGTACCCCCAGGGTTGTATTCTTCACATTTTAGAATACTTCTAGTACGAAGATCTCTTTGATACTTTCAGTATTTCTCAAAAAATAATTTTGACAGACTGCTATGCAAAGCGTGCGGATCGGATTAATGAGTAAATTTCCTCTTTGGAAAGTAGTGGCTCAGAGTTCTCCGCGTCATATGGATACGATAGTAAAACACGATGTACAGATAGGGTTTAAAATACGAAGCATCATATTACTTTTGCTCAAGTTTCCATGATGGCCATGACTACAGTTGCCATGGCACCTAATGATTGTACCTACCTATGCAGCATATGAAACATTATTTTGTTATATACCAGATATTATATTACTACAGCTATCTTTATCACTCTTTGTCATAAGGGAAAAAAGAGTGATGTTAGTATCAAACCCCTTGAATTGCAAATTTTAATGTTACTTTTTTTCTGGTAACTTTCTTGTTCAATTGTAAACACAAATTTTTGTCAAAATGATTCATATCATGATTACTGATTTTAAAGTTTTGCTGTGATGAATTTTTTATCACTTTGCCGCCTCATCTCGCCAATTGTTGATGTTTACCTCCCAGTTTCTTTAGATTTTACAAAATATGGTTGCGAAGTGTTAAGGCACGGTCTCTGAATATATCCATTAACAAATTTTAAAGCAGACCATTTTATACAAAGTTTTTTTTTACTTATGTGGAGTCAATGATTTGTGTTTTTTAAATGTATTTTCATCTGGTACTTATGCAGTAACAGTTTTCAGTTTTTCTTTTTCTATTAATATTCCTGTCTGCTGTTTCAGATTTTCCATCCTGTGGACTACACAAATCCCAACAGCATCAAAAACCACAACGAGGTCTTGCGTTGTTTTGCTATCATTGGTAAGTCTGTCGAATCATTTTTGTCTGAGATGGCCGCCCATTGTGAACTCGTAATCGTGAGGTTGTGGGGTCAGGGTTCGAGCCACGGGCCCGATGTTGTGTTCTTGGGAAAGACACTTTACATGAATTTTCCTCACTTCTCCCAGGTGGAAATGGGTACCCGGCCATAGACCGTGAAAGATCTTGTCAATATGTTAGTAATTTAGCGTCTATAAATGGCTGCTTCCACTGTATGCTTTCCAGAAAGTTGAGTTTGTTTCAGAATGCTCTTAGGTCTGCTGGGGTAATAGTATAGATTGTGAAGCGCATAGAGCTTGCTGTTGAGTGGGGATTTGCGCTATACAAATACTATCTATTATTAGAAAAGTGGTTGTCTTGGAGAGGTGAATGTCATGGACAGTTTCATTATAGTTTAGAAAAAAAAATGCAAGGAAGTGAAGTTGTCGTTAGTGATGTGTTTGTCTTTGGACCGGCAGTGGTAAGAGCAGGTTTGACTATATATATATAATTGCTAGTACTTTACTCTTCACCTTTAACTTTTCTTCTCCGTATGAGTAAACCCACTATTGCGGATCCCATTCTTTGATACTAAATCTAAAAATGACAAAAACATCACTAAATAGGTTGTTAAATCAAAACAGGTGAACCCATTTTGATATTTCTTTATCTAATGAATGAACTCCTAGTAAAAGAGACCTGTTTACGGCAATTGCCAAAAAGTAATTTGATGTCAAAGTCGTCGTAAAGGAATGTGCCCAAGCCGCTATCAGCGCCTCACCGACACCGGGGTTCTGACCGCGAGCCGCTGGGAGTGGCTAACCGGAGATAAAGAGTTAATAAAAGAGAAAATTGTAACTGCTTTGTTAACCCTATCCGTATGCCCTGGGGTCATTTTGCACCCCCTGGGGTTGTATTCTTCACATTTTAGAATACTTCTAGTTCGAAGATCTCTTTGAAATTTTCAGTATTTCTCAAAAAATCATTTTGACAGACTGCTGTGCCAAATGTACGGATCGGATTAACTAGTAAATTTCCTCTTTGGAAAGTGGTGGCACAGAGTTCCCCACGTCGTATGGATACAATAGTAAAACACGACGTATGGATAGGGTTAACACCTTAGTGACAGTGACCACTGATGGATGTTCTGATCTCCAAGGAACACTTCCCTCAAAACCAAAATGAAGATTGGTCGCTTTGAAGAATGCTTTTAAAAATACTTGTTTGACTATCGGTATCTAATTCATGTTCTTCGAACATTTGCCAAAATGAAGTTAGTACAGCATTTTTTTCGCTTACTAAGCAAACGCGCGCTCATATGACCTTATCAGTTGCGAGCGCCGTAAAACCTTATACTACTACTACTACTACTAAGCACATGTACATTAGAGAGATCAGTATTTCAATCTTAATGATGTTGACTTTTATTGTATGAAGATACCGTTGACAGCCATGGTATTTACTGATTTGTAACCGCAAGGTGTTAAGTGCTTAATTTATGTTTTCTTTCTTTTCAACAGCAAGGGCGTTTTCTGGAAAACTTGTGGGAATATTGCTGGGTAAACTGGAAACAAAAGATGAGAAGATAAAGATTGGAATTCTCTCCATTTTCAAGCACGTCATCAACGCTGCAGGTACAAGTTTACATTTGTCCTATTGGTTAGAGTTTGAGACGTAGACTATTTGTTAAATTTTAGCAGGTTTATGATTTATGCCTGCAATATCACGTTCTCTCAATGTATATTGTATTTTGTAATGAGCAGGTTATGTGCATGTGTTGAAATTATAGATTTTTAACAAATTAAAGTCACTCTTCTGAACTCCTTCTTCTTCTTCTTCTATCCTGTGGTTGGGGAAACCCTGGGGGCACCACTGCATCTGAAAACCAGCTCTCTCCGTTCCTCTCTGTCCTCTGCTTTCCTCAGATTGTCCCCCTTCGTCTTCATTGTCCACTCTGCGATGTTGTCCTCCCATCTCCTTCTCTGTCTTCCTCTCTTTCTCTTCCCTTGTACGGTTCCTTGTAGGACTGTTTTGGCAAGTCCTGTGGATCTTGTGACATGTCCATACCATTTTAATTTTCGTCTCTTGACTGTTGTCAGAAGATCTTCATGCTGCCCCACGGCGTTTGTGATTCTGTTCCGTACCTCAGCATTTGAACTGCTTTGCATACTTGGAATTACTTGAATCCAGAGCTAGAATCACAGCAGGCTTCACATGTCCATAGCTGCTCATCTCTCCTTTCCAGCATCCACCCCAGGGTCTTCCTGCTAATTGTCTCCATGAGGAGCTGGTTGGAGACTCGCCTGACCACTCCTCGGAGCCAACTTCTTATCCCTGTGCCCTGTACACACTTTTTAAAAATTGTGCTGAGTGTGTGGGAGTCTGTCTCCTCTTGGTCGTGAAGGCTCTCCTTGCTTCTGGCGATCACCATTGGTGGGTTAAGCATGATTTGGCCATTGGGTGCTGCTTTGCCGGCAAGTTCATCAGCACGCTCATTTCCGTGCACCATGGCGTGACCAGGGCAGAACACCCATGCAATACACCCATGCAATCCTTTGGAGGTGGCTATTTGCAATGGAAGCTCTCCTGTCACTGTAGAGCCACCCTCTCCTAATTTTTTCTAGGGTGCTCCTCGAATCTGTGATGAACAGGGCATGTTTATACGCTTCCATACTGATCCATTCCAACGCCTCTGTTATTGCCTTAACCTCCATTGCCATGCTCGATGTAGTGCACTCGTAGGCTCCAGACTGTTCTTTAATTATCTTCCCATCAACTCGAGCACTGAACGCCCACCCAGATTTCTGGCCAATCCGCACTGATCCGTTGGTGAAGACGACAACATCACCCATCACTGAATTTTCCTCTAGGATGGCCTCAATTTCCGCATTAGTTGCATTTGCTGGCCACTCGCAACACTGTCGACCTAGCGCAGCTATTACCTTCATGAAGTTGCTCATGTCTTTCTCCGGCCTCATCCAGTCTCATCCTCTTCTTATGTCCTCCTTTTCACAACACATATTGAGAGTTCGCTCTGCCTTCACCATCCATGAAGATCCTCTTTTAAAAAAGAAAAAAGAGGATCTACTTTGCATAAATTTGCTTGAATTTTTCTCATCATGGAGGAGACCTTGCAGAATCATGTTGACGATGTTTTGATTTTAAAATTAAGAAGTCAGGAATAATTGTAATATACGGCAGCTTTTTTACTTATATTTCTGGTCTGGTGAATCTAAGTACATGGAATTTGAATAGAAATTGGGTCTTAAAATCCTGTTTTGTTTTTGTACCCAGGACTGACCTTTTAAACATGTGCGGTGTGGTAAATCCATTTGGAGAAGGGATGCCATGACATTTTGGTAGAATGGGATCTCTCCCTCTCTTTCTTCTGGCGCTGTGGCGTCATAAACTGTCAGCGATGCCGACAGCACGCAGGAACTCAACAGTCGCTCCGGCGTCATTGAAAAATGCTGAAAGTTGGTTATTGAAATGTCCCAGCAGAGTGTTGAAGTCCTGGTATTCCAGGTGGGTTGACGCATTCTGCAGCTGTCATCTTGGTTTGTCGGTTGGTAGACTGACATCCCTCGGCAGCAGCTGGCAGGAGCACCATCTTGCAGGCTCGTCGGGATGAAAAGACTTTAGGATTGTATTGCTTTGTCTTGCGGAGTGTGCTGGAGAGAATTTAAACCTTGTGTTAATTATTTTTGTCCCATGTCAGTGTCGGCCATGGAAGACAAGAAAGAGGTGGTTGTGTCAGGACTGAAAGGACTCTGCAGTGATAACAATAACAAGGTACTTTTGGGTTGTACTATTTTTGTCGCTGCTTGTATTTACAGAAAGTTTAAAACAGTCTTTTGATTATGGCTCTTGTTTGACCAAATCTTATGTTTGATTGTGTATTAACTTTTCGACATGTTAGTTACACAACGTTTCTTTGTGTTGGAGTTTTGTTAGTTCATATCCTTTTGACACTTTTCTGACCTGTTTATGTATTGTTAATAATAATAGATAATAATAGATAGCATTTGTATAGTGCAAATCCCCCCTCAACAGCAAGCTCTATGTGCTTCACAATCGATACTATTGTTAAGCAAATAAAGGATAAAACACATCAGTATCTGATATAATGGCAATTGACCTGTTTATGGATTGTTAAGCAAATAAAGGATAAAACACATTTGTATCTGATATAATGGTAATCTTTTTCCATTTTGACACCCAAAAAGATTTGTCACATCAAAGTGTTCCAATGTCATGTAAATAGAACTGGGTGTCATCCCCTTGCGTTAATTAAAGTAAATTTTTATCACCTTTATGGAGGTAAAAGAAATCAAATAAAGTCATTTTCCCGCGTCCCGTAGACTTCTTGGTTCATGTGATTTATAGGTTGGGGCTTTTAAGATTGGTTAAAATCAGTAGCCTTCCTTTAACCCTATCCATATGCCCTGGGGTCATTTTGTCCCCCCGGGGTTGTATTCTTCACTTTTTAGAATACTTCTAGTACGAAGTTCTCTTTGGGACTTGAAGTATTTCTCAAAAAATCATTTTGACAGACTGCTGTACTAAGTGTAGGGATCATATTAACGAGTAAATTTCCTCTTTGAAAGTAGTGTTACCGAGTTCCCCACATCGTATGGATACGATAGTAAAACATGACATACAGATAGGGTTAAAAAGTTCTGGTGTGGTTTGCTTCTTCTTTCCTGTCAAACATCTATCATCCTTATCTCCCCTCCTTTTTTTTTGAGTTTGTTACTCTCTTGTAACACCTCTAACCTTCTGGCGTTCATATGACCTTATGCAGTTGCGAGCACCGTAAAACCTCTACTAAAACTAAAACTAAAACTAATTCAGTTGACTCTTGTTTTGCCAGGTGAAGAAAATGTTTGCCCAGGTAATCATTGCCATGGCCCATCACGGCTACCTGGAGTTGGAGGGTGGTCACCACATGGTGGAGTTCATCGTGCGCCAGTGTTCCCTGGAGGACGACAGCAAGGTCAGGCACGCTTCTTGACCGTCCTTGTCTTTTGCTTGTTGATTGGTCACCTCTCCTGTGGGTTGTTGGTGGGTGGGTGCTCTGGTGTGGTTTGCTTCTTCTTTCCTATCAAACTTCTTTGATCCGGGCCTCTCCTCCTTTTTTGTATTTGTTACTCTCTTGTAACTCCTCTTCTAATCTTCTGCATTTATATGACTTTATTGTGTTTGCTATTGTTGTAAAACTCGCCTCTCCTCCTGGGCACATGCTTTTATTTTGTCTTTTTTTTCTGAACTGTTTAATACTGCAAGCTCTCTTTGTAGACAATTAGATAATGTTTGTGAAATTCCCTGTTTTTTAAATGCAAAATTTGGTGGGTTTCAGCAAATTCCTACTTTACAGATAATGGAAAGAATTCTTTGCTGACTGCCACAGATGCTGTTTATTACACTTGAAATATAGGCTTACTTTAAAACATACAAATTGTGGGAGCGTTGACCAAGTCCCTGATGATGTTACAGACAGTTAATTATGTCCATCACCAGTGCTTCAGTACCTGTGGGTGGTTGGCGGGTGCTCTGGTGTGGTTTGCTTTTTCTTTCCTATCAAAGATCTATCTTCCTTATCTCCCCCTTTCCTTTTTTATGTTTGTTACTCTCTTGTAGCACTTCTAATTTTCTGGCACTCATAGGACCTTATGCAGTTGCGAGCGCTGTAAAACCTCTACAAAAACTATAACTAAGTACCTGGTAACCTGCTAACGACTCATGGTCAGTTTCTTATTTCAAGGGACATGCCACTTTGGTCTCACCTCTCATCTGTTTTGTCCTGTGCCAGGGCAAGCGGGTGGCTGATCCAGAGCATGTGAGCAACGGGGCTTTGAGGATGATGTGTGACAACATTTTGACGCTAGTCACCACCACCATTGACAAGATGGAAATTGTAAGTCATCAGTTGTGCTTATCATCGTAGAAACGTGTTGTATTCTCCTTCCTTCCTATCATCAAACATCTATTGTCCTGATCTCCCATCCTTCTTTTTTTGCGTTTGTTACTCTCTTGTAACACCTCTAATCTTCGAGCTCTTATATGACCTTATTGTGTTGCAAGTGCCGTAAAACACTTACTTGTGGGTGGTTGGCGGGTGCTCTTGTGTGGTTTGCTTCTTCTTTCCTATCAAACATCTATCATCCTTATCTCCCCTTCTTCTTTTTTATGTTTGATACTCTCTTGTAACACCTGTTATCTTCTGGCGCACATATGACCTTATGCAGTTGTGAGCGCCGTAAAACCTCTACCAAAACTAAACTAAAACACTTAAACTAAAAACTGAAGTAAGTCACCAGTTGTTAGGGTTGGGTCGGGCTCGCAAAATTAGCGTCCACGAGTAACGAACTACCCGCTGGCATTACCCGCAAACGAGCGGACGACCGTCCGTTTGTGAAGAGTAGTTCGCTACTCGCTACTCGCTACACATCGGACAGAGACAACAGTTCGTTTAGCGAGCGGGCGGACAGACGGACCGAGAGACTCCATGCATTCAAGCGGGCGGGCGGACGGACGGACGAGAACGACTCCTTCCATTGCCTACAACTTACAACCCCCCGCCCCCCCCCCTAAAATTTAAAAATCACCCTCCTGCCTCACATTGCAGCTAGGCGTTCATGACGGAAATTTCCGCCCCCCGGCCTTTGAGATAATTGGAACGTACACAGTGTGCCCCACGCACGAGGTGAAAGGTTACACACATAGTACTACGTCACCAGCCTCTCTCACTCCCTGTGGCACCGCTAGTGGTTTGAAACATCAGGCCTAATTAACAAACAATAGACGACGGGTCTAATCTTGCGTCGAGTATCTCGTCTGCTAGAGTTCGTCCGTTCGCCCGCCCGCCCATTGAATAAAATTGTGGAGCGGACCCAAAAAACGAACTGGCTTGAGGCTTGTGGTCTGCAGTCCGCTTGCTGAGAGAGTCAAATTGTGGAGCGGACCCAAAAAACGAACTGTCTTGAGGTTCGCAGTTAGCTCTCATGGCCGTCCGTTACCCGTTCGCTCTGACTGAGTCCGTGAGTAACGAACCCGTCCGTCCGCTCGCCCCTACTCTACCAGTTGTGCTTATCATCATAGAAACATGTTGTATTCTGTGTGGGTGGTTGGCGGGTGCTCTGGTGTGGTTTGCTCCTTCCTTCCTGTCATCAAACATCTATTGTCTTTATCTCCCCTCCTTCTTTTTTGTGTTTGTTACTCTCTTGTAACACCTCTAATCTTTGGCACTTATGTGACCTTATTGTGTTGCAAGTGCTGTAAAACTCTTACTAAAACTAAACTGTTGTGTTCTGTCATTTGTTCAGATGTACGAGATACATCTTACACTTTAGTTCTATGCAAAATCAGATTTGTAATTGGCTGAGTTTGGATGGTTAGCAGGTGCTCTGGTGTGGTTTGCTCCTTCTTTCCCCAGGAAAAAATCTTATTATCCTAAATCTCTTCTCTTTCTTTTCATTGCGTATTACTCTCCAGTAGTGGGTGGTTGGCGGGTGCTCTGGTGTGGTTTGCTTCTTCTTTCCTATCAAACATCTATCATCCTTTTCTCCCCTCCTTCTTATTTGTGTTTGTTACTCTCTTGTAACACCTCTAATCTTCGTCACTTTTATAACCTTATTGTGTTGCAAGTGCTGTAAAACACTTACTAAAACTAAAAATCTAAACTCTCTAGTAACGCCCCTAATCTCCAGTGCTTGCATGGTCATATTCATGTTGGGAATGCTGTAAAACTCTTGTTAAAACTAAACTAAAAGAAGTTTTTGTCTGTCTTTTGTGATTTTTCAGCGCGCTCAATGGCTGTTATTGAGTTGGTGTGCTTCTCTTTGCTCCAACGAACGAATCATAACATCCTCATGTGGAACGTTGAAGTGCTGTTTTATTTTATCCTTCTTTACCCACGCAAAGGAACAAATGCAGAAATATGGTCGCTGATGTTTGTTGCAAATCTGGCACTTGACAATTGGTCGCTTTTAAGGACAAGTGGGCTAACCCAGATTTCAGGGATTTCCAGAAGTCTTGACCTACACCAAAAGTGGGCATTGCCCTCCCTACCTATAGGAGAAGTTTGGTTTCATTGATGTGTATATTTGTTTGGTTATAGAGAAAACTCTCCTTGTCTTTTAAAGAGACTGAACAAGGACCTGAAAACTTTAACTTCGATTTTCTCAAAACAGCATTTATGGGGATAGCCCCCTTGTGCTTAAAAAGGACCAACTATACACGAAAGGACAGTTAAAAAAACAAAGAAAAAGAAAAAACAAAACCACAATTGATGTGTTTTGCTCAGGTGCTGTGGCCGTACCTGTTGGAGCTGGTGGTCCCGGAGCAGTACACGCAGGCTGCAGGGACGCTGTGCAAGTCCTTGGCTTTCCTGGCTCACAAGAAAAGGTCTGAGCAAGCAGAAGACTATGAGATTGAGTTTGAAACTCAGCGTAAGTACTCTCTTTTTTGTGCGTGCGCGTGGGGGGGAGTTGTTAATGGGGTGGTTGGAGGTTTTTTTTTTGTTGGTAGGGTGTACAACTTCTCTTTTTCTCTCTGTTATTCGTTGTCTCTCTTACTTTTTCCTCGAGTTTAGATGACCTTTATGGTGATGAGATGCTTTTTTTTTTGTGTGTGTGTGTGTGTGTGTGTGTGTGTGTGTGTTAGTGTGTGAGTGTGTGTGTGTTAGTGTGTGTGTGTGTGTGTGTGTG